GCTGTGAGTAAATCAGCCAGAGGCAAAATGTGATCCTACCATCCTGCAGTGAAAACTGCCTGTCCTCCTTCTTTGCTCCTCACTTCATCACTGTCACACTATAGCCCTTAAAGTCCTGCCAACTCCTGAGAAAAGTTATCAGGAGGTTCCCTGGAAGTCATCTCACTGCCAGTAGGTGCCAACCAACTACTTTAAATTTTGTTTGGAGCATAAAAATTCCCCACACCCACAGTTACATCTACCCCTCTAGTGTCCCCCTCTCCAGACAACAAACCCAGTGGGCACTGGTACTTCTGAGGCACCAACCCAATGTGCTTCCCAGCAGAGAGAGAGCTGCACTGGCTCCAGCTGGTGCTGGAACCGTCCCAAGACCAGTAACACAGCTCAAAACATTTACAGCAGTAGCTGCAAGATTTCTGGTTCATATTCCAACTTCCCACCAAGTGTCCTTTCCCAGAGGCTTTCCCAGGACAGGCAGAGATGCCTCCACACACGCCTAACCACATATCCCACAGAGTCCTCCTCTGGGGCTGCTCTGCCTCTCAGTCTCTTGGATGATGAATTGTTGGATTTGCTGGACTATGCTGTGTCATTCCAATGCTGGATTTGCTCCTAAATGACAGTTACATCCAAATGAAATTAATACCCATATCTTACCAAAGAGGAAGACAAACAAAGTTCCATCTGTAGTAAATCAGAAATTTATGGTGTTTTGGCATCTCAACTTCCCTTAGTTAACATCAGTAACTTTGCTGTATCATTGTACTGCTAACAATATGCTAGAAAAGCTCAAGAGAAAAACTCAAAGAACTAAATAAGACACCAAATTCCTCCTTCACGTTTTCCACATTACCTTCCTTCTGATCACCCCTGAACTTTGCACAATAACATCACAAAAGTAATCTCAAGCTGCACGATGTTTTACTAAATCAGCCCAAGAACCCTCCATCAGATGTTAATTTTCAGCAACTTTTGCTAAATCAGCTACTAATTATTGGTGCCAACTTTGTTCTCCATCTCCCAAGAGCAGACTCTTGGGATTTGCAGGGCCTAACAATAGCCTGTGTTGAAACCTTCTTGCTCCTGCTAGGAAAAATTCACATTTGTGAAAATTAACCACTGAGAGACAAGGTTCTATTTTTTCTTGTGCTCTCATCCAGAATAAATCAAAGGACAGCAGCACTCCAACAGTTCATCCAAAAATCTCTCAAACCCCCTCTTTTTATCTGAAGCCAGCTAAAAACTCAGTGATATTTCCTTGATTTTCTCCTAACACTGCAGACCATCTTACAGTGAAGGAATAAAAGGTGCCCAAGTTGTTGATTAGTTTTGCCTTTGCAGGTCTTCAAAAGAATTCTCCATCTGCAACATTTTGAGATGACACCACCTTATTTTCCGGGAATTTTTGCCTTGCTCATTAATGTTTGATATAATGTGCTTTATGGAAACCTAATTACATGACATCTCCTGATTCTGCCTTACCCACCATGGCAGGCAAAGCTCAAGCAGATGCTCTGATTTACTGAAGCATGAACACACTGCCTGCCATGCAAACTGCCTCTCCCTGTGTTTTCTGTCACTCCCTTTAGGACATCCACCAAAAACACAGTTGCTGGCTCATAATCTTGGGGTTTTTTTTCATGACCCCTTTCAAAAAGGCTCAGGGAAATACAGCTGCACCTACAGCTCTTGATCTTATGAAACAGCTGCACTTGAACAGTACCAGCTTTAGGGTTCCCCAAACTCACAGCAGCAATATTGCCCTAAATAAAGCAGTTTCTAATTTTTATCTCCTCTTTCTGATAGGGAGAAGGAACTTTCTGGCAAGCCCACAGCCGAGACCAGGATGGGCAGCTGGGAGACTGAACTGTGTGCCATGTTCATAGCCATCACCTGCAGCTTGTCAGCACAGCAACAAGCCAGAATTTCTTTTCAAACCTGAGTGTGCAGCATTCAGACCAGCCAGCCACCATTTAAATGCAGCTGGTTTGCTTTTGTGGACACTTCATCTGTCAGCATGGGAGCAGACAAACACCTGAGCTGACTGCTGAGCACCTTCTCTGGAGCCACACAAGGATCAGCACTTCTGATGTGCTGGTTTGCCACTAATCTTCATTCCTGGGACACACTCCTGAAAGGGACTCCCAGCTTCCCATTCCTTGCTGCAAACCACCAGCTTTTTTTTGTTTGTTTTTTTTTTCTTTTTCAGCACAATGACTCAGGCTGAGCAGCAGTGAAGCACAGCAGGATCCTGCTCTGCTGTGGTGGCAAACACGTACAGCAGCAAAGAAGCACTGGAGACTCGACCCTGCTCAGCTGCACCACAGCTGGTGGTAGTGCCACTCTGAGCCTGGGACTGTGATCCCAACATAGGTGTGAGGCATCCATCACTTGGTGCTGTAAATGCAGGAGGAACAGGCTGTGTGCTAGGGAAGCAGAAGGAGGCAGGGTGGACTTGCTTTAGCTCTCAGCTTCCCACAGCTCAAGTACA